AGATATTGAACAAAACCGGCCCGAGGACTAGGGACCGAATGGCTTGGCAGCAGTTCTGCAGAAAAGGACCTAAGGGTGACAGTGGACGAGAAGCTGGATAGGAGTCAACAGTGTGCTTTTGTTGCCAAGAAGGCCAATGGCATTTTGGGATGTATAGGTAGGGGCATTGCCAGCAGATTGAGGGACGTGATCGTTCCCCTCTATTCGACATTGGTGAGGCCTCATCTGGAGTACTGTGTCCAGTTTTGGGCCCCATACTACAAGAAGGATGTGGAAAAATTGGAAAATGTCCAGCGGAGGGCAACAAAAATGATTAGGGGACTGGAGCACATGACTTACGAGGAGAGGCTGAGGGAACTGGGATTGTTTAGTCTGCGGGAGAGAAGAATGAGGGGGGATTTGATAGCTGCTTTCAACTACCTGAAAGGTGGTTCCAAAGAGGATGGATCTACTGTTCTCAGTGGTAGAAGAGGAGAGAACAAGGAGTAATGGTCTCAAGTTGCAGTGGGGGAGGTTTAGGTTGGATATTAGGAAAATCTTTTTCACTAGGAAGGTGGTGAAACACTGGAATGCGTTACCTAGGGAGGTGGTGGAATCTCCTTCCTTAGATATTTTTAAGTTCAGGCTTGACAAAGCCCTGGCTGGGATGATTTAGTTGGGGATTGGTCCTGCTTTGAGGAGGGGGTTGGACTAGATGACCTCCTGGGGTCCCTTCCAACCCTGATATTCTATGATTCTATGAAAGACAATTTCTTGGAGTCAGTTGACTCCAGGAGCTGTGGTTTTAAATAAAAGCTACCAAATATGGTAAGGATTGTGATAAAATTGCAAGCGTGGGCCCTCTCTCTGCTCTTCAGAACTTTTGTTTAGCTATGACAAACTGTGGAAAAGCCTGGTCAGTTTTTACTCTGCTGAGGAGTGGAAAAAGTGATGAATAGCAGCAGAAGCAATGGAGAAATCTGTCTACACATGGCAGAAAACACTATCAGTTTAAATGTGCTTTATGTTTGGAAGGTTTTCTGTGCATTGATAAGGGAAAGCTCCATTGATAAGGACCTGAACTCAGAAAAGCTTCCTACTTACACCATGAGCAAATGGAGTTTAAGCCCTATATAAGAGTTTGTTTTCAAAACAACAGCCACTAGCAGATCAACTCCATCACAGTTAACGCACATTTGTAATAGTGGACGCTCACCCCTGTGTTACTCATCCCAGTTACATCTGCCTCTATTGGTTTTCAATAAGTTTAATAAGGCTTTTAGACAGCGAGCAGTGGCCCTTCAGGGGGCTAGTTTATTTAATCAACTGCCAAATGTTATCTGTAAACAAACCTTCTCCTTCTGCTGTAAGTCCCCAGGCTTTTTCCCTGCCTGGAGGGCTGCACTCTTTCCCTAGTTCATCTCAGGCCTTCCCTGCCTAAAGAGTTTTGTAGTCTCTTCTCTGGAGCGCTCTGTGTTGACGGGGGGCGGGGGGGAGGGAGGGCAGCATTTCCTCTCTTTAGGAACCTCTGCTTGCTAGGGAGACACCACTGGAAGTAGCTACTCCTCTTCTACCCCCATGAGCTTCTTCCCCCTTTTCTAGGCTCCTACCTGGGCCCTCATAACTCTTTATAAGGCCCCAGTGTTCCTTAATTAATGCCACCCTGCTACTATCCAACATACCCTGTACTGCTGGATCTGAGGCCTTTCATTCTCCTTAGCAGAGCCTGTCACACGGATCCTGGGTGCCCGATGCTCAGAGAGGCAGATGTCATCACACACACACAAAATGTGACTGGTTTTTAAAAGTGAAGGTTTTAAGAACAAAAACTGGGTGCATAGTTGTTTTTAAAGTTTTTGTTAATTTTGCACTGCTCATGAGTCTTTCAGTGGGGCTTATTTGTTCACTAGGCTTCATGGCAGCTGTTTGCTACAGTTGTCACTAATCCTCAGACACACTAGAGTGCTGGATGACTTTTTAATTACAAAGACATTCCTATTCATCCGCCCGGGTATTGTCTGCATGGCTCATGCTTATTTGTCTTAAAATTTCATTCTGTTGGCCGCTGCCATTTATCAGTGCTTGATACTGAGTTTACTGACCATGGCAGAGCTGTTTTGCAGATAAACACCCTCAAAACTCAGCAGTATTTTATATCTCCAAGCTCTGTTTTCCCCCTTACGGAACAAACGTCTTTTATTTTGTTCTTCATTGGAACTACCTCCTACCTTCCAATTTACAGACCCATAGCAGAACTGGCATAATAAGATGCATATCTTTTGGTGAGTCCTACTTTATGAAGTCTGTATTTTTTATATCAAATCTACAAGGACATATTCACAGTTTAAGTCTCTGGCAAACGGCTCACTCTAGCTCTTGATCTGCTGCAATAACAAGGTTAAATTGATGGTAACTTATAAATGATTGAGAGAAATAAAAGATTCTTGCCCTTTGCCCTCAGTACCAACATACTGTAATATAAAGACAACTATGCTATCAACAGTCCCTGAGCCTCATATAGAGAAATAGCCATGGGAGCAGCTCAGCAATTTTGAGGGAAAGAGCTGCAGAATGTAGAGCAGGAAGACAGACCCACTGAACAACTTCCTGCTTCACAAGATGGCAAGTCCTGGTCCTAATATTCCCCCTCCTCCCTGCAACCTCATTTCCACCGCTGGAAGTAACACAATCAACAAAGCACTTAACGAGGAGCTTAATTTTAAGCAGATGTTTAAATTCATCCCTCCTCAGCAAAGTATTTAGGCTCGGCATATGCTTAACTTCAAGCTGTGCAAGTCACAATCACTTCAATGAGATTTAAGAATGACTTTAAAGTTAAGCACAAGCTTAAATCTTTTTCTGAATCAGGATCATAATGGTTAACCTTTGAAAAGTGGGCCCTTCATTTTGGCAGTTATTTTTGTTAAGTGTTTAAGTTTCAAATATCAGTGCTGTACGCTTATCCTGAAGAATGGGGTTTGAATTATTCAGAAAGCAACCAGGCAAAACATTACTCAGAATCAAATAAAGCACGGCAATTTTTGGCTAGCTATATATAGCTAAATCCAATAGGATTCAGATAAAAGTATTATATTATTAAAACAAGTGTCTGATCACAAACAATTCTGAAAGTGCTGACCTGTTTACTCAACATTATTGGAAATTGTATACTGTCTCACTTCATCATAAATCTGGCTTGTTAGGGTTGTGGGTTTTTTTCCCTTTTGCCAAACTGAATAAAACTTCAAAATGCTGAGCTCTATTTTCAGTGAGGAATTCTTGATTTAAAATTAGTGTAAGCAGTGTCAGGATGAGCTCCACCCTGACATCTGGTAGTGAGGTGTGGCAAGTTGTGGAAAAGAACTTTAGGGGCCGATCTCATTTGCATAGGCACACCCACCCTGCCTAGAATGAGGCCATAGCTGCTCAAATGGTCACTTTGGCTGTTGTGGGATCCCCAGTGTCTCTGTTATTGGGGCAGGAAGAATAAATTGTTATTACCCTGATTATGGGAACGGTACTTGGAACTGTACTTGGCCTTTTGTTATGATGGAGGGACTCACCATCAACTAAGTGGCACTTGCTAGGCAAGGGTCATGGGTTCCAAAACTCTGTGAATTGAGAGAGGCTGGGGACAAGTGTTAATACTTGGTGGCATGGGCCCCTTAGTGAGGGCCTTACATGCTAATTGCACTTTCTCCTCTCTCTACTGTGGAATATCAGAGCTAATTTTGATTTCCTTAGAAGTCTGGTTACAGGCTGCTGAGCTCACTTTGGGCTAATAGTGCACCAGCACTGAGGCTCCCGTCCTACAAGCTGAATTCACCAAAGAGCTGAACTGACTAAGAGCTGAAATCACTGAGCGTTGTGTTAAGTAGCGGGGGAGCCTGAAGATATATTGTGGAGCGGTTTGTGGGACGACTGGAGTGCCTTGTGGACAGGCTGGTGGAGCAGTTCGTAGGATGGCGGGAGCTGCTGGTGGGACACGGAGCAGTTTGTGGACCGGCTGGTGGAGCAGTTCGTGGGACGGCGGGAGCTGTTTGTGGGCCGCGGAGCGGAGCAGAACTGAGCAAAGGAGTTTGTGGGGCGGCTGGTGGAGCGGAGAGAAGGCCTATGGAACTGTGGGGCGGTCAGCTTCAGATCATGTAAGGTGCCTCTTACCCCCGTCCCATCTCCACCCAGGTTGGGAAGTAAAGCTCTGCAGATAAACTTTCAAACTCTGAGGCTGCCCTGACCAGGGACAGAGACTTTTGGGTCATTGGACTTTTGGGACTTTGGGTGATTTGGGGTTGCTGGACTCAAGAACCAAAGGGAAAGGGGCATGCCCCAATTTGCTTGGGGTGGGTTTTTTTTGCTCATGGATTGTGTTATGAATCCTGTTGGTGGTGTTTCCCCAACATAATGCCACATTGTTTCTCTCTGTTATTAAAAGGCTTTTTGCTACACTCAGACTATGTGCTTGAGAGAGGGGAAGTATTGCCTCTTGGAGGCGCCCAGTGGGGGTGGTATATATTTGTCCCAGGTCACTGGGTAGGGGGCTCGAGCCGGTTTGCATTGTGTTATTGGAATGGATCCCCTAGATATTGAACCCGGCCCTTGTTGCTGCCAACTCTGACAGGCAGAAGGGTTACATTAGTCAATCACTAACTGAAGTTTGTCAATTAATCAGTCAATGAACCATTAAAACTAAAAAGCAAGTAAGGATCTAGGACCAGGTGGCTTTTCAGCAGAATAATTAGTTCTTAGATACAGTGGTGACAGGGGCTTAAGACATACAACACAACGGTTTTATAAGTAGGCTTAGAAGGATTAGATTTTTATCACTAAATGTCAATTTTACCATAGACACACTGATGAAAAAATATTTCCATCAATAACTGAAATGTACAGATAGCCAAAGTGAGAAAATATTGCTTGAGAAGTTATCAGAGTTTGATTTAAGGATATTTATTTTGTATATTCTGACATATAATGTTGACCATTTATATTTTTAACAGCTATAAAGCTTTAAATGTTTGTACCTCAATTTGTATCTCTCGTTTATCTGGTCCATCATAATTTCCCACACCTGTGAAAAATTAAATTGATTAAAATGCATGTTGATATTCTCCATAAAAACTCTAAAAAGATAAACATTGAATTCTGCCAAGCCTGTTTAGAAGGATAGCAGTTTCAAACACTCCTAGGGAAGTCTTTACTTCTATCTGAATCTCAGTGGTTTGTAGATTGATACCAGTTATCACTATACACTGGATCTCAGCTATTGGGAAAATGAGAAAATAAATTCAACTTTAGGGACATAATCCAACGCCCTTATTGAGTGATATCATATTCTTCTTGCTTACTATTTGCTAAGGTAGTGTCTGAGTCTGAGCATCTTATCTGAGTATCTTTCTATTTGTGGGTAGAGTCTTACTGTGGGATGATCCCATTGAAGTTAATGGGACTATTTGAAGAGTAAAGTACTACTCAGTGCATACAGATGGCAGAACCAAGAGTGATGTTAGGACTGTAATTGGTACAATTTGAATGTGCACGGGGGGTTGGAGGAATCTTTATTCTAGTTTGGAAAGAAAAGTGATTATCACTGCTCAAAAGGAAAGATAGCATCTAGAAATAAGTGTAGTCACCTAGACAGAACTGACCTGGTTTTCAAATTGACAAGCAGCCTCAGCAGCCACAACTACTGAGGCCAGAGATGCCAAGCACTTCTGAAAATGAAGTCAATTGTATTTAGATGGCTATAAAATTATACTGAGAAGCATAGAATAGGCACCCACTTTTGAAAATTTTGGCCTGAGCCTTTAGTCATCAGGATGAACCCAGACATAGCAGCTAAGAAGTTTCCCACTTCAAAGTCTATCTGTATGCTGATGATTTACTGTTAGTACATATGTCACAGGTCCAGCACTCTCAATCAAATTATATTGCATACAGTTCAGTCAGTTTCCCTGATTATAATTAATAATGTTAACAGAAGCAAATCCAAAATCCTTCCTTTAAATTCACTGTTCTATTCTTCTCTATTAGATACCTGTCATCGGTGGATACTTGCAAACATTCAGGATATCGTGGCATATTGTTTTAAACAGCATTAACCCAGAATGACTTCAGACTCCAAACACAGATTTGACACAGGAAAGAAAATATTAACAAATCATGTTGAGGCAGATTTGGTTCAATCACAGTGGTGGTTATGCCCTAAACAAGTTATAACCATATATCAATTTCAGTGAGAGGTAGACTGAGTCCTAAGTGAGAGCAGGATCAGGTCCTTTATATTAAAGATGGTCTTAACTTTCTCATTCCCTAACTTCAGAGAGACAGGTTCTTCCCTCTTCCTTAGTCCAGGGTTCTCAACCCTATTCATGATGTGGACCACTTTATCTCCTATTCACAAGGAGGTAGACCACCTCCCCTCTCCTTGGCAACCAAATATCATCCCTGTGACAACAACAGCAATTGCTTTTATAGAAATAATGTGTTTAATGTATTTGGTTAGTTTCTTTTAATGCAATTTAGCGGATGGAAGCGAGAAGGAAAGCTAGCACTATGTGACCAGTCACCTTTCCATAGACCAGCAGCAGCTTCTTAAGGGAATAAAGTCTGCTGCAGTTTCCACGGTATACATCTGATGAAGTGAGCTGTAGCTCACGAAAGCTCATGCTCAAATAAATTGGTTAGTCTCTAAGGTGCCACAAGTACTCCTTTTCTTTTTAAGGGATTGTGTTGGTTCACAGACCAAATCTGGCCCATTATTACTAAATGTTCCTTTAAACCTCTCTTGACAATTATTATAAAATCTAGTGCACTTCCATCTCTGTTTAGCAACTCATTCTAAAGTCTGTATGAACATATTTTTCACTGTTGGAAACCTGACATTAATAGTATGTACGCATGCTTACATAAAATAAGAGCAGACCTGACCCTTTGTTCATCCTTCCAACCAAGCCTTTCTGGTTTCATGAGAAGAGAGAAAATTGTTTGACCAATGATGTCACAGTTTTGCAGGCACTCCAGGGCACAAGTAATAAGGAAACCATGAATTGTCAGTACATTTTAGAGCTAGGAGACTGAGGGATAATTCAGTCCTGCTGTTTTGGAGTCAGCAGATGGGCTACACTTTGTAGAGTAAAACAGAGTGGGGAAGAAAAGAAAGTAAAGAAAACTTGGATCCTCCATGAAAAGTCTTAATTAAGAGGGAGAGACCTGACAGTGGAGAGGGCAAATGGGCCACTTCTGCCAGATTTGCTAGTACTGGGAAAGTAGCATAGCAAGTGTCTGGGGAGGAGGACTGTGCCATGGTGGCCATGCTTGCAGAAGGCCTGCAAAAAGCTCAGATAAACATTCAAAGCCATGCTAGTCCTACAAATGTGCACGTATTTGAATTAAAATGTCAGTTATGCATGTCACCCCATTCAAATAAATGTTGAGAGGATCAGAGCCTTATTTTGCTTCCTTGAGACAAAAAGAATCCACTGTTGCTGTGTCACAGGTTTGCCTCAGCCAGCAGAATCTCTTGAAGTGAGCTTGCTTTACTTTTACAGTCATGAATTAATATTATCTCAAGATGAGCAACAGACTTTAAATTCTATAGCATAAGCCAGCATTTGTTTGCTCAACAACAGAGGTGTGGTCAGAGTTAGGCCTTGACCTGGCCAGGCTTTTGGGTTAAGACAGGAGGGCTCATTCCTCCCATGTGCCAGCTTCACTAGGCCCTGGAAGAAGCAGCCTGCCCTTTTCATGTTGCCTACTGGGCCCTGTTTGGCTCTGACCTGGTCTTAGCCGTTCTAGCCTCTGGAGGACCAATTCTCATTGGTTCCAACTGCAATTGATACTTAAAACAAAAAAACAAAAACAGGAAAAAAAGGATGAAGCTGACTGTATGTGCTGCAAACAGTGTGGCCCAATTATTAAATGTAAACATTTATAGGCTAATAATTCTAAGTCTGTAACAGTAAACAGTTTATTCAAATGAAAAGTTTTATTTAGGGATTAGAGATATTCTATTCTTAAATTCAGAGGTGGCATTATGTTTTGAGTTCTCTAGTTCTGCAGCAAATAACATTGAATTCCATTCATCAAAGCATTAAGCTAATGAATACCTTTTTCCCTGTCCCTTTGTCCACCAAAATAAACCCTGATATTTACCCAGAAAAATTATTAAAAGTTTTTTGCACCAATTTTCACCTGTTTTTTTGTTGTAGTAATAAACACAGATAAATTCTCCCGGAAAAATTAATAAAATAAAATAAAATCCAAAAACAAAGGGCCCTACTGAAACTGGATGGCATCTCTAGGCAGTTCTTCTAGGTCTAAACTCACCATTTTCTCTCAAAAGGACACTTTATTAGAGCAGGGTGTGCCAAGACAGTGAGGCCTCCAGCAAAGGGCATCAGCTGCCTGATACATGCTGTCACATGCCAAGGTTCATGGTTTTATAATGAGTCTTGTGATTTTAGGTGTTTTCCTTGAAGCCTGGAATCAAATGATTGTGAGAATGTCTGCTATCATTTAAAAAAAAATGAAGTTTCTAGGCCTCAAGGTTGAGGAGAAAAGTTTGACAATGTGATGCAACTGTACCCCAAGGTTCAAAATCCTGAAGACAAAGAAAAATAACCCTAATGTATTTTCTTTTTTTTAAAAGTCCTGTGATTTTTGGAGGGCTCATTCACTTGAGTGCTTGAGGGTTGGCAATACTGAGAACCTATAACTTGTTAAGATTTTGCCATTCACTCACTGAAATCTATAAAAGCACTCTACAAGCCAGCTCTAAACCAAGAATTTCACCTTGAATTTCTACTTATAGTATAAAAAAAACCCACACATAAAAAGATGTTTCCAATCTCTGTTCAACAAGCTTTCAGTCTAATATCATTGCTTCTATTCTACTGTATGTGCATAGAAATTTACACCGTGCCTAGACTAATCTGTTTTCCTATTACTACAGTACCCTACTTTGGTTATACTTGTGAAGTAACATACAATATGTTATGATGAGCTCTTTGAAATATCTATCCCGATGAATATATTTCATGTTAAAAAACCAGTAGTAAGTTTTACTGAGATCTCTACTTTTGTAGCCTGCTTTCTGTTCTGTATTTCTGTACTACATTCAAGCTTTACATATTTTTATGCACTATCTCAATGATTTTGTTCTTGTTTAGATGTAAGTTCCAACAAAAGAGATTGAACAACAAAGTGTTTTAGATTGGTTTTTCTTTTAGTACTTCTTGTCCCCACAACACAAGCAACATGATTTTAACTATACAGCCAGAAAAAAACTAAAATGACTGTGTTGTGGATGTAGAGAAAATGCAGCAAATGCCTCTCTTCACAGGGGTTGGATCCTGGGTTCTTTTTTTGGTTGCTCCACCCAAGGTGCTGCCTCACTTTACCCAGGACACAAGGGTTGCTGTCCCTTGGGAAAATGAATAATGCTTCTATTGATAACAAGGACTACAAAACCCAGTACACTTGAACCAATAAAATACATCAATATAAACCCCAGGAAAGAAACCCTACACCCCAAAATAATAATATAACAAAAGGGGATTTTACTGGGAGCAGGAAAATAGTAACACCAACCCAAACAGGGGTGTCAGCAGTGGGGATCAAACCTGGGAATCTCTTGAGCTAAATGCATGAGCCTCTACTGCCTGAGCTAAAAGACATGTCTCTGTTAACCAGGGCTGTAGCAGGCTCATCAATCTCTAATAGCCCACACTAGAGGAGGACAAAGTGCTACTCCAAGCAAGCAAGGGTTACTTATTGGTGTTAAAAAACAAGTGCAAACACAATAGGTTTCCCACCTCCCAACCCCCAGAAACTCTTCCCAACCCCAAACTAAGACACTGGCACCTTCCCCAGTAGGTGATAGGCTGAGAATGAGTCAAGTGCTTCAGTGCTATGAATGCAGGGAGTTAATCAGAGAGATCCTGAGCTCTTCTGCTTCTCCAGCAGCTCCAAAATTCAAAGCTCAAAAAAATAGACTTTGTCTCTTGGTCAGGTTCTCCCATCTCACTGAGGGGGTGGAGTAGTCCTGGCTCATCATTTACCCAGTAAACT